GGCCAAAAATTATTTTCAATTAATTAGTTGATAACAGAAGTTAACCGAAATGTTTTCAACTTTTTAGTTAACCCGACCCGACTCGGATCCGCGCGCATGACTCGTTTTAAATTCCGTTATATTTAAAAATCCCGCCATGACTGTTCTGAAAGGTTGCAACTTTCAGGAATAGTCAATACCATTTTAAAGTTTGCAACCTTTCATTAATGGTCCTGTCGATTCTGAAAGGGTTGCAACCTTTCAGAATATATTCTTCTTGCCTATAAATACCATTCAGTCTTTAGAATATTTCCCAACGAATTTTCTGCTCTTCCTTCTTCTTGAAAACACATATTTCTTCGTGTACTTTCCAGTTGTGGATTGATTCGTTGATAGTAGAGTTTTTGGTATCTATACTCTACTGATTAAGATCATTTTACCCTGGGAGGTTATATTCCAAATCAAACCTCGGATACTAGAGGGGAATAATTTCCTTAAGGGGACACTGTGAATTTAGTGGACTTGATTTTCTTCCTAAATTATCAAAAAGAGTATTCCATATTCTGGTAAGTTTTACAGATTCAATTATTTTATACAAATAAATTTTTGTTCATCTTATTTACTGGTTCTAAAAATCTCAGTTACTTTGTGTTTCTGACTTATTTATTACAACCAGTAATTTCTGATTTTCATAACACAGATTAGCAACACTTCCCTCACCGTCTCCACCATCACTTTCACCACCACCCCCGTATTACTACAAGGCTCCTCATCCACCTTCACCATCACCTCCACCACCATACTATTATAAATCTCCACCACCGTTCTCACCATCACGACCCCCTCCATATTATTATAAGTCTCCACCGCCACCGTCTCCTTGACCTCCTCCACCATATTATTACAAATATTCATCACCTCCTTCACCTTCTCCTCCACCTCCTTATTACTACAAGTCTCCTCAACCTCTATCTCCATCATCACCACCACCAGACTATTACAAGTCTCCTCCTCCACCATCCCCATCCCCATCACCACCCCCACCATACTAATACAAGTCTCCACCACCACCTACTAAATCACCTCCTCCCCCGTACTATCTCCACCACCACCAGTGAAGTGTCCGCCTCCACCATATTACTACTCCTCAGCACCACCACTAAAGTAATCACCTCCACCACCATATCACTACACTTCCCCACAATCACCTGTTAAGTCACCACCTCTTACATACTACTAGTCCTCGCCACCACCACCAAAGAGACACCTCCAACTCCATACTACCACAAGTCTCCTCCAACTCCAACGCATTACTATCCTCCACATAATCAATTTGTGGTCGAAGTTGTCGGAAAAGTCTATTGTTTTAGATGATATGATTGGAAGCACCCAAAAATGTCTCATGGCAAGAAGCACCTAAAAGGTACCATAGTGTTTATATCATGCCTGTTTTCTTTATTTTCTCTTAATATTTCAAAAGATAAATTATCCAACTATGTATTCTCCTTTTTGTTGCCTTGTACTATATGCTTTTATCTTATTTCATGAATGTCCTTGTTTTATTTGAATCTTCAATCCTCTTTTATCGTAAGATTAAGATGTTAAAAAGTCAAAAAATTTATAAGGCAACAACTATAAGCATTATTTTTACAATTGCATGAAAGTAGTTTGCTTGAAAGAGTATTTATTATGAGAAAAACAAGATATTATAATTTTATATGATGAATACAAGGTATATTTTTGGAAGAAGCGGGGACATATCTAAATGATCATATATTAGAAGATCTACTAATTATTTTAGTATTAATTAATGTATTATTTCTATTTCACATGGAAATAGGTGCTGTTGTTGAAGTAACTTGCAATGCTGGTGATAAGAAAATTGTGGGTTATGGTACCACTAAGATCAATGGAAATTTTTGATCTGAATATAGCAAATATAGAACAAAGACTTGCAAAGCTAAACTCCACAATGCTCCAAAGGATTCAAAGTGTAGAATTCCTACAAACCTTCACTAGGGAATAAAGGGTGCTAACCTTAAAAGTGAAGTCAAAGAATAAATATGAAGTTGTGATCTATTCAAAGCCATTTGTTATGGCTCTAAGACACCTTATGCAGAGTGCAAACGGCCCAAGCCTACACTTACTCCATATTACCATAAATCTCCTCCACCTCCATCACTGACTTATGTTTATAAGTCACCACCTTCTCCGTCACGAAAGTTTGTGTATAAATCACCACCTCCCGCAACCCCCACATACATTTACAACTCTCCACCACCACCTGCTTACTATTACAAAACTCTTCCACCACCAACTGAGTCTCCACCACATTATTATTATCACAAGTCTTCACCTCCACCATCACCAAAACCTACACCTGTAT